AACACTTGTAACTCTCAATGTAGATTGGCATATGGTGGGGAAGAGTGAATCAATTAAGGGTCCTATTTGTGCCTCTGCTGTGGAATTGGTCATCGACGTAGGAAAGTGTTTTGTTTTTATGTAAATACGGCACTTCTCGCTGCTTTGGGTTGTTTTTCCACGATGTACACAACGCGACGCATCGTTGAAAGTGACTACGCCGACGAAAGTTAAGCCCCACACTCTTGTCAGTTTTCGCTGAGATTTCCTGGACATCAAGCTCTTCTACCTCCCCGTTTTCCTAAAAAACACGGACACTCTATCAGAGGAGAACGTTTCTCCTACTGATGTAAAAACGGTTATGTTTTGTTGTTGTTACCCTTTAAAGCTATTTGGTTGTCATTGAGGGTTTAATTGAACATGTCAGTACCGGTGATCACGGAGCCTTGAGTCATCGTCGATCCTGGGGCCGAATTGGTGGGAAAACTATCGGTGATTCACGCCAATCCCAGTGCACGCGCCTGACTATTTTATTCGGCAACGCGAAGCCGCAGTGATAACCAGGCAACTGCCAACACCTGTCAAGAACGTTCGCTATTGCCATGTCGCGTAGTACACCAGCGCAGTTCGGGTGACATGCTCAGAAGCTGGTGCCGAAATCTCCCTGGTTCAAAAAACTGAACCGGGTGACTCTGCCGATGAAAGATACCAAAGTAAGAAATGAACGTGCTTTCTGTAGACTGCAGTATCATGCCAAAATTTTGTCGGCAGTGCTGCTGTTGTTACCCAAATCGACAAGTTTAAGTTGGCATCTCCACACTATGACTCTGTATGCAAACAAACCCGCTTTACAAAAACGTCGGGAAAATATTGCATTTTAAATGTTCAAGGTGTCCTTTCAATGTTTTATTACTTTGGTTTATTAGTCCGAAACACCGTTGTTTCTTTAATTCAGAAGCACTTTAATGAGACCTTCAATGAAAGATAATCGTACTTTTAGTGCGCTGCAGTTGTGCTCAATCTTTCTCTGGGTAGACAATAAGCATGATCCGCATAAAAACTCCCTTCTCAATTTTGAATATTGTTTATGCTATATTGAACTAGAGATAACAGTAATCTCTCTGTATTTATAAGCTTATTTGTACATTCTTGTCCTCTCGCTCTCTCTATCCATCCGCGTGCACGCGCAAATTTGCGCATTTGTTTGTTTGTTTGTTTGTTTGTGTGTGTGTGTGTGTGTGTGTGTGTGTGTGTGTGTGTGTGTGTGTGTGTGTGTGTGTGTGTGTGTGTGTGTGTGTGTGTGTGTGTGTGTGTGTGTGTGTGTGTGTGTGTGTGTGTGTGTGTTCTCACAATAGGTCGAAGTGGTTGTGCTTTTTCACTTGCTCTTTGTACTTTTCTCTCAGGCAAGAGGTGCACGTTTCAATTCGCTCTGCGCTGAGGAGCCAATCATATTATTATTATTATTATTATTATTATTATTATTATTATTATTATTGGATTAACATACAGAGAGAGAGAGAATAAGGAGAAAGGCGGGAAGGTTAAGCGGGGCTGAGACCCTGTAGACTACCCTTCACTGGGAAAGAGAAAAGGGGGAAGGAAAGTCATAGAGGAGGAGAAAAAGTCACTGATTGGGCCCACTCTCAACATTTTCACATCACAAACAATAAAACAGGCCGGTGTCCGAGAAAGCGCTACAGCGCTTTCGTTGCCTTTCGGAATCGGGAATGGGCAGTGTCATGGTCCCAATACTTTCTCGTCAGTGAAATCACTTCTGTCGAGCTAATGACACAGAGGTAATAGGGAAAGCACAGACTGAAACACGAAGCTACCGGGAAGTTGACGCTAAATTCTTGGTCGGGGCCCCGGTGGTGTCAGTAAAACTGTTTGCTTTTGCCATGCGCTAATAATTAAATTTGAATAATGACTAGCGGTAACGGAACCCACCTGCATGCAGCGGGCGTCGTTAGCGTAAAGCCACGTACTATTTAGTTCCCTTTTGAATTCTCAAGACATCTTCTTACGGCAGCTAATATATACGTAAACAGATAAATTGCAAGGTGATATTCAATGCTCTCGAGATAACTTTATCGAACTAAACATATTTGCGTATTTATGGTGACAATTTATCATAAACGTAAGGTTGCAAGCTTGCTTTCTCGAATATTCAGTGGAACAGTTCATCAAAAGACGTGAATTTTCAATTTTTTGTAAACACAACTAGGCTTTCCGCATGAAATTTCCGTAGGCATAAATTCGTTTCACAGCCATGGCTGCTTCAACCTAGCCGAGTGTAGGAGGCTACCTGAAACCTTGAGTGGTCCTAATTTGATCGTTCTGTAATTATGTTGCGGAGAAGAAATGAATTCCTTTTGTCGAGCAGCTTATTCGTCCAAACTACCAAAGATACATACGCCTGATGAGAGGCATCAGATTTCGATAGTGAGGGACACTTCATCGGTACCTCATAACTTGATGCACGAAGGACAAGTTATCGGCATGGTCAGCACCCTGGTCCGTGCTATGCGCGTGCTACTAAGCAAGATGCAGACACCGACAGTTGAAAGCGTGTTCCATTTGCTTGACATCATCACTTAAGTTCTCGCAAGCCTTCAGAAGTATGCTGCTTGAGAATGCAAGCGGCACCATCATGGCTTCACCATCGGCAAGATTTTTTCGGTGCATGGGAGCGCGCATACAAAATAATGCAACGAATGTGCTCAATTGATTAGGACACGGGTGTGACTCACCGTCTGCACACAACTTCAATTTTGTCGACGGCATGAGTGACATTTCTCTCCTTTCCTCTCTCTCTAACTTTTATTCCCCTCACCCCCTCCCCAGTGCAAGGTAGCCTTCTGGGCTTCGCCATGGTTAACCTCCCTGCCTTTATTTCATCCTTATTCTCTCTCTTGTCGTTTTAGTTTCTGAAAAAAAAATTAACTTTCACTTCACACGAATATGTAGGTCCATCTCTGCGCCAAAGTTTTTTTTCTCTTGCGGGAGCTGAAATAGAAGCAGGAGGGCACGACGTGGACGGGCACGAAACGAGCGTGTGCTCCGAACACATCTAGCCGCCCTTGGGAAAAGTTACACGCCTTCTCCTTTTTTTTATGCTTGCTCTCTGCATACGCACGTCCGCTTATTTGGCCAACCTCACGGAAACTGTGTCGCATTTGTCACTGGGATCTTCTCTATGGGAACTGCGCGTGGAGCGCATATAGAATTCTCTCTGCGAGGAGGGCCCTTTTCAAGTGTGGTCCTGCATAATGAACGCCGCCCCACGCGATCTAGTTCTCGCCTCGTTTAGGATGCTGCGAAGCCACAGTTGGAACGCTAGTCACTCACGTCTCGGAATGGCCGCATTGTGCTCGCGCCATTCTCTATGCTCTTTCAGTGCGCGTCCGCACTTCTGACGGTGGGCAGCCGTGAAGAAGTGGGGGCGTTATCGCAGCAATGGGATGTAGTTGGTCCTGGAAAAGAAGCGTAAACTCCGAGAATCCAATGAGAGGAAAACAGAACGCGGCAGGCCGCTGTGTTATCAAACTTGCCCATAGTTTCTTCTTTGTGCCGGCGACCCGTCCGGTGGAGAGAAAAATATTACTAGAGGCGATCTTCGAAATTCCAACAAGTGCTGAATGATCTTTGCCTCACTTCTCTACCAAACGATGCTCGTTGTTTTATTTATCTCTTCTGTGCTGTTTTACTGTCAGCAGCAATTATAACCTGGTAGTACAAGAGGAGATATGGTGGGTACATCAAGTTATTGTTCGTTCACAACATTTTGGCCCATGCACGTTGCGACATAACATAAAAAGTGGCGTATTACCTACGAAACAGCAGAAATTCTTCCTCCTGCACATGGGTTACGCAAACATCTCATAGTATATATAGTATTACCGGGAGAAAACAATTGTTGCACTGATGTTGCGCTATGTGCCAGTATGTTCATGTCTACGTTCCGTGGGCCAGGGCAGTGCGCAAACACGAACAAAGAAGGAACTTCTAAAGAGGGTAGAGCCTACGTGTCCATTCACAACCGTCTTTATGCGGGCTGCCCTGCGTTCACTCACATAATGTTACTAGAGCGGATTTTCCAGATCGCGCGTGGTTTTAAAAACGTATCGTAGATGGAAGCTCGTAACTTCTTTTCGCGGTGATTGAGTCAAAGTGCTCAGCATGCTGGTCGAGTCAGACATTTATTATTTTTCGGTAGTACTACCTCTCAACCTACTCTGCTATAAAGTCGTACTTTGCATTAACACTTGCGCACAACTTTCGGCCCGTTTCCCATTGGAGGCGGAAATGTTGTAGGCCCGTGTGCTCAGATTTGGGTGCATGTTAAAGAACCCCAGGTGGTCTAAATTTCCGGAGCCCTCCACTACGGCGTCTCTCATAATCATATAGTGGTTTTGGGACGTTAAACCCCACATATCAATCATCAATCCGTTCCCCATTCTCCAGCGCAAGCGTGTGTTCGTGCGGGCCAGCGTGCACGTGTGTAAGCAGGAAAGGGGGTGGGGGTAAAAAAGGCAGAGAAATAACAACAGATCCAGCGTTCATATTTGCGAGCGCTATTCTGAGATCCTGGCTTTGCCATTTGATTGCTGTGCTTGTTTTCTTTACATGTTCACCTAGTTTCATGCGACGAAGATCGCGGTTTGATTGCAACTTAACATATGCGCGAAACGAGTGGGAAGCTTGCGTTCGACGCTACACGCAGGCTGCAATTTGTTTGCGGCTACTGAACAAGTGGTTTGAACGTCATTCGTAATCTTTCAAATAGTTAAAATGGTATGCATACAGCTAACTGTTGGTCTATTTTTATAGGAATGTTGTCTGGGCTATTTCTTTCATCTGCGCGGGCTTCTTCTTTTAGCCCTCTGTCCCTTTGTACACGTGGGAGGTAGCCAACTAGAACCACCTGTGATTCACCTCGCTTCCTTTCTTTACTGACCCTCTCCCTGGTGGTAGCAGCCCTGCTAATGTTGGCGATGTGTGTTTTTCGCACGCAGGCTGTCGGCGCTGTCGGCGGAAAGCGGCGGTGAGCGCGGCCTGTTGAGGGCCCCGGAGACGAGCGGCGCGCTGGGCGGCCATGGGAGCGGCGCCCTGAGGACCGAGCCCGGCATGGCCAGGCGCAAGGCCCTCGACCCGCGGGCCAGGGGGCCTTCTTCGCTCTTCCTCCTCTCCGAGGACAACCTGCTGCGACGATATACCAAATTCTTCATCGAGTGGCCATATCCTTTTCTCGCTCTCTTTTTTTTTCTTCTCCCGGGGCACCTAGGTATTCGAGCAGTTCGTGATAAACTTCTCGTCTGTCGCTCTCACCTATGAAACTCCCTCAATGGCGCCTAACTAGGGAAGAGTTCGGGCGAAACATTGTTTCAGGTACCCTTGTCTTTGGGGTGGAAATCCAGTGGTGTAATCATCTCAATTGATCCTGCATACTTTCTCTTTCGCCTTTAGTGAGTAGATATGTGTGCCGTCATGCAGACACTGCGGAATCAGGGCGTAGATGAAATATATATAAACATTCTGGAAGAAATCTACAGGGGATCAACTGTTACCATATTGCTTCATAAAGAAAGCAACAGAATACCAATCAAGAAGGATGTAAGGCAGGGGGACACAATCTCCCCAATGCTATTTACCGCGTGCTTACAGGAGGTTTTCAGAAGCCTTGAATGGCAACAGTTAGGGATGAGAGTTAATGGAGAGTACCTTAGTAACCTGCGCTTCGCCGATGACATTGCATTGCTGAGTAACTCAGGGGACGAATTGCAACTCATGATTACGGAGTTAGGCAAGGAAAGCAGAAAGGTGGGTCTTCAAATTAATCTGCAGAAAACGAAAGTAATGTACAACAACCTCGGAAAGGAGCAGCGCTTCGAGATAGGTAATAGTGCACTTCAAGTTGTAAAAGAGTATGTCTACTTAGGGTAGGTAATAACCGCAGAGCCGAACCACGAGATTAAAGTAACTAGAAGAATAAGAATGGGGTGGAGCACATTCGGCAAGCCCTCTCAAATTATGACAGGTAGATTGACACTATCCCTCAAGAGGAAGGTATATAACAGCTGTATCTTACCGGTATATACTTAGCTACGGAGCAGAAACCTGGAGACTTACAAAGAAGGTTCAGCTTAAATTGAGGACGACGCAGCGAGCAATGGAAAGAAAAATGGTAGGTGTAACCTTAAGAGACAAGAAGAGGGCAGAGTGGATTAGGAGACAAACGGGGGTTAAGGATATCATAGTTCAAATAAAGAAGAGGAAATGGAGATGGGCCGGGCATGTAGCGCGTAGATAGGATAATCGCTGGTCATTAAGGGTAACTAACTGGATTCCCAGAGAAGGGAAGCGGGTTAGGGGGAGACAGAAGGTTAGGTGGGCAGATGAGATTAAGCAGTTTGCGGGTATAAATTGGCAGCAGCAAGCACAGGACCGGGTTAACTGGCGGAACATGGGAGAGGCCTTTGTCTTGCAGTGGACGTAGTCAGGCTGATGACGATGATTGATGATGGTGACGATGTGTTACTTGCCTTATTCAGGTTAAGTGAAGTGCCTATTTGTGGCAGAGCAGAGATACGTGTATAGACAGGTCAATAATTGTAGCAAAACACGGCACACTCCTTCTTTTGTTTCGTGTGAATTAACAAGAGCTGCATGCGGAATCCCTTTTTCATCTTCCTTCTTGATAATTGTGCGGCGCCTCCCTTGCCCCTTTCTCAGTGTAGGGTAGCAAACCGGATCGTTTTATTCTAGTTAACCACCCTGTCTTTCACTCAACCTTTCTCATTTTCTCTCTGTCGTGATATTCTATACACTTGACAGAATTCATTCAGCTTATCTATTGACACATAAGAGAAATAGTGGCCTTCCAAGAAGCCTGCAATGCGCACCTTAGCGAAAAACAGCGCCGCGGACTGAATGGTTTTCTAAGCGCCCTCTTTTGCCTTTATAATCGCCGTGTGTACGCTACTCGTACGTTTGTAAACACAGCGTTTATATGTGAGCGTATGAACCGCGCTCGTCAAAGCCTCGCGTCAAGCTGCAACGTTAGTTGCTTGATCAAGCTTCCAGGTGGCGCGGAGAGTAGCAAAGCGACACTTGCTGTTGGGAACGGCTCAACCGCAAAGCCCCGGGATCTCGAGTTGCAACGGCAGGAGAGGAGACCGGTGTTGAAGCGGAGCTTAATATATATATATTTTTTCGTTCACATGGTCTAGGAGGCAAAAGCATCATGTGAATAGTACTAGCGCACAAATCTCTTAGGCTGCTCTTCTTATGCCGGAAGTGCTGCTATAATGGGAATGCTGTTAGCCGTGTTTTCAGCGCTAATTTTTTGCCACGACCTGTAAGGAGACACTCGTGCTACTTAAGCAGCCTCATCAGTGAAGGTGCGCGAGGCACCGCAATGCATCTAAAAAAGTCAGGGTCGTTGGTGCAGACCCCACTGGCGGTGGTCCGCGTTTGCACGTCCGTAGAAGGCTGCTGCCAGAAACAACCTCTGCCGCGGCATCGATCGCTTCTGGTTGACGCTGCATGGCGCCATCTGATGGCGACTACTCGATGCACCAGCGGGAAATGCCTCGGGAAAGGCCCCGACAAACACCGGGCCCCTGGAGCACAAAAGGAAGTTTCGCTGCGGCTCTGAGCTCAGTTTTTCTAGTGCCGCTTGCCGATCCACCCACGCGGTGAGGGTCGCTCCTTGATTCGGCGCTGGCCTTGAGTTTACGCACTGCTAACACCTTCAATGAAGCGACCACTCGTCTTTAGACAGAGCCCGCCTTCTGAGTGGATAGGTGCAGCCCAGACGATACTTCCGTCACAGGCACTGAAGGCGCCTCAGACAGAGCAGCTGCTGCTCTCCTATACCCTTTCTTGGCACAAGCCCAGCTTTCTTACTCAAACCGGGCTATTCTGGTATTTTCATTCTTCCTTCACTCGTGCCAGCTCGAGCTTTGTTTCTGTCTTTACCGAGCACAAAAGTGACGTCACTGCAGCGTCCACGTGTCCTCGACGACGTTGGAGACTGCAGCGGAGAGGACCGCATGCTCCGTACTTGTTTCGACCAACCCGGACACCTTCCACTGCAGAACATCGCAACCGTTCAAGGCACCGCTGTCGATATACGACGCAAATGTTTATCAATCCTCCTACATTTGTGCGTGGGATGCACAAACTATTGAATCAGACAAATGGAAATCGATGTCGGCTGCCATTAAGTGCCCAAAAAATTAAAGACAAATGCACTTGTGTTCTGCGTCTCGGTTCCCTGGGAGAGTTATTTTCATACTGTATAAGATAAAAAAAAACTTGATCGTGGGAAACTATCAATGTAAACAAATTGCCTAATTCTTGCATTATTCTACTCAACGTACGAAAAACACTGATGCGCTTTGTGGCTTGTATTTTTTCCAATAGCACTTTGACTTGGGTGAGTTGGTATACATACTCGGATAGGTTTAGCGCAATTTACACGAAGACAGGAGGCATACATAACACAGACGAGCACTGTATTTTTTAACACGGAGATAGTTAGGTAGCTACTGGCTCATTGCATAAGTTCGTAGATAAGGCAGCGTTTATACAGACAGCGAAAGGTGTGAAATAAAACCCATAGAAGCTATATATGATCAAATTATTATTGTAGGGCAGCGTTGGTGGCAAGCCTAAAAAAACAGCGCAGCTGGGCAGCTCTTTTTTAACATTCCAGCCAAGGGTAGGCTAGAGATTGCCCCCTAAGCCTAGATATAGCCACATTAGCATAAAGAGGGCTAGCCGGGCGTGGGAAAAGTAAGTTTAGGATTTCTGCCTATTTATGTCTCTCTCGTTCTTTTCCCAGCCGTCTCTGTTATTCTCTCACTGTATTTTTATCTCTTTCAATGTGTTTTATCTCTCTCTTTTTATTTTGCTTTCTTTTTCTCTTATATATTTGGCCCCGCCACGGTGGTCTAGTGGCTAAGGTACTTGGCTGCTGACCCGCAGGTCGCGGGTTAAAATCCCGGCTGTGGCGGCTGCATTTCCGATGGAGGCGGAAATGTTGCAGGCCCGTGTACTCAGATTTGGGTGCACGGTAAAGAACCCCAGGTGGTCGAACTTTCCAGAGCCCTCCTCTACGGCGTGTCTCATAATCATATGGTGGTTTTGGGACGTTAAACCCCACGAATCAATCAATCTCCTATATATTTTTTCGTCTCGCCTGTAGCAACGTAATCATTTGTTTCTCATGAATGCTTGTTCAGCAAGTGTAGTTTGGACTGCCGACTGGTTACGACAATCACCTTCGGTCTGGGGGTAACCGGGTTCGAGTTCCACGTCCGCAAGAAATTGTATTTAGTTGTTTTCTTTATTCTTTTGTTCCTTTCCCCTTGTCTTTTTTTCCTTCTTTCCTTCATCCGATGCGTTGCTGGGTGACGCGTGGTGATGTCATCATTCTACGGAGGTTTTTTTCTATGGCAACAAGCCAAGCTCGAGCTGAAACTGCTCCGCAGTTAAGAACATTACGCTATTCTGAAACATTGTGACGAAAAACAAATAACGGAGAATCTTCAGTTCGTTTAGCTCCACATTCTTCAACCCTCAAAGTACACACCTTCCTTAATCCAGGATTGCAGCTACTCCACTTCCTGTAACATTGACTGCAACATTCATCAAATTGACCTTTACTCGATTAATAATACGCGGTTCTGTGTAGCGGTCAGTTAAAAGCTGACGCTGCAGAATGTCCGGGCGTTGCAAAGTGCATACGACGAACTGATCTTAAAAAGTTGTCTCCTGTGCACACGCCTTAGAGGTGGACGTAGCGCCATTATTTGACTCTTTGTCCGTTTGTTCTTTATTTTAAACTCCGTCAAAATTCAACCTCGGTTTGTGTTCCAACAACTCAAAATCGAGACGAACAACCGCAGTACTTTTTTGTGTAAGCGCAATAAAGTTGGCTTCCTTAACTGACGCTTCTGCACTCCGCTCGAATATGCCGTGCTGCTCACCATCATCGCCAACTGCATCGTGCTGGCGCTCGAAGAGCACCTGCCCAAAGGCGACCGGACGCCGCTCGCCCAGAAGCTGGTGAGTCCACCTCGCACCTGCTCTGACCGAGTCTCGTAGTCCTTCACAAAAGCCAGGAGGTGTCATTATATTTCGCTTTTATTAATGTGCGAGGGACAATGAGCTCCCACCACCGGTGCACCGCGCTTATGGCCGCTCTAAAAATGGAAATATGCTCAGCGATAGTGTGAATTGGTGGCATCATAATGTGCCACGCTCAGAAATATGTTCCTATGAGCTGCCGAGTGTTTTAATATATTAAAGCGCCCTATCCACTTAGAAGAAGAACAAAAACGCCGCACCATGCCTAACTCATGATTTTGCTTCAGTGACTTAGAACAACACAGCTAAAAATGACTGAAAGTTCATCAAGCTGGCAAGGATTCGCGATACTGTAACACAGTATACGTGTCCCCCTCCTTTTTTTTTTCTCTGCTTGTATCAATTGCGTCACAAACATTTTATTAAACTTCAATGCAGGCCTGTAAAAACAGACGCAAGTAGAACGTAGAGCATTTAAGTAGCCCTTTTGTTTTTATTTTTTGATTCTGAGTTTACGCTATTTGCAGTACTATGAATCACAACAGCAAGCGTTCATGACTCGTCCGGCGTTTTTTTTTTTTTTTTGCTTTTTTGTTACGCTGCTTATAAAGTGATATGAGTGATGCAAATTCGACTGTGACAGCAAATATTCTGCCATTCTCCTTTCGTTACAATAGGGGGCTACCGACACGGAGCTGTTATGGTCCCCCACATTTCGCAGATCGTGCAGTTTATGTGCAACAGTTCTGGCCGCGTATACTCTGTCGTTAAATATCACCCACGGGCACGTATCACGATAGCTGCCGTGCTCTTATGCCTAACAACGTTGTGGCACACCATGAAAGCCAAGGGCGCTACGTGTTCTTGAGGTCACGCGGAACAGAGGTGAAGCAGATTTAGCTACTCCGGAATACCGAAAAGCCGTCAATAATGAACTCAATCACTCATTTTGTGTATTCTTGAAAAACAGAGAATATTTATAAAACAATCGATATGTCAAAAAAAGATTTATCGTATATTTTTAAGTTTACTTCTATACATAAGATACTCTCGACGAAAGATGAGAAATAACAGCTAGGATCGGAGCTGTAATTCACGTTTCGAAGACAGCGTTCGACGTTTAGGAATAATTCCGGTGGTAATAAATGTTTCTCAACGTCAAGTTCTTTATGATATCCTCCCTGTCTGAAAACTTCAAATCACAGTTCTCATTATTCTTTGACACCTCCTACAAAAAAAGTTAAACAGAACTTATAAAAAGAACAAGATATAGTGACTTCTTTGTTTTTTTATCCATAATACCCTACTATGAAATAGCTCCGCCTTCTAAATGCGTGCCTGTTGGCAAACTGACTATTTTGCTTGTTCTTTTTCATGGGTCACCGATGGCATATCTCGTGTTTCACATCACGAAATATATTTCATTCACTTTAGAGACGTAACCCATGGTTTTAACAAGATATTGTGGAGACATCCAACTTACCCACCAGAAGTGTGACAGCTTGGGCTAGTTGGTATGACATGACGATAGTTATAGCGCGAGAACAGAACGACCACCCAGAGACAAGAAGGACAAGAAGATTTCATTCGTGTCCTTCTTGCCTCTGCGTCGTCGTTCTGTTCTCGCGCTGTAACTATCGTCGTTACCCACGAGGCTTATGAAGCCAGGTGCTACGCAATAAAATGCAATATATTCAATCCACTATGAAATATTTGTTTTTCGTTGGAAATATGAACAGCAAGATTCTCTAGTTACACAACGTGGAATGCGTTGCTTCGGTTGCTGATGTCTTTTAAAAATTTGCTGTTAGAAATCGGTGGCTTCATGCAAAAGGTATACAGGCACACCCACACGGCATGTTTAGGTTGGTTCTTTAATCACGAATTCAATGGCCGAATATTCACATTTATCACACAAAAACTCTGTCACTATATTCGTGTGATCTATTGCTTTCAGCTTTTCAAATCTGAGCAGTGGTCGCTGTGACAACGAATCATAACGTGTTTATGCTTGCCATTAAAACATTTTGTGTAAAGAAGGCAAATCCTGTTCCGTTCTGCGCACAGGTTACCAATGAATGAGTTACTGATGAGTTACCATTTCATATAGGGCAGCAATGATCGCTTAGAGAATCAAACGGAGATGCCCATATAACCCCGGGCAAGCTAAGCCGAAATGGCGAACGTGGTTTTCACGATGCGAAATTCAAGCTAACGTTGCTGTTATTTCCTTTAAATCCAGTGCCCTATTCTGTAACAGCACGTTCAATGCAACAACCGATAATACGGTCTGATTTACTAAGCTTTCTCGATTTTTCTGGATTCACGATGCCATATGCCACAAAAAGTCACAACTTTTTCAACTCTTCACTATGTGAGCGCAAATACACGCACAGAGAAGAACGAGAAACAACCAGAACTCACTGTTCTTCCCACCGCGTGTGTGTGCGTGCGTGCGTGCGTGTGAATGCATAAATATGTGTATGCGTTCATGAATGCCTAATGCATGAATATGTTTGTGCACGTGAATGCTCGTGGTGTGCGTGTGTATGAGTGTGTGTGTGCGCGCGCTTTCACTATATGTGCGCGTATGTGCTTGTGCTCGCACGTGTGTGTGTGTGTGTGTGTGTGTGTGTGTGTGTGTGTGTGTGTGTGTGTGTGTGTGTGTGTGTGTGTGTGTGTGTGTGTGTGTGTGTGTGTGTGTGTGTGTGTGTGTGTGTGTGTGTGTTTATACGTGCGATCGAGTGCATCAATGTGTTTGTGCGTTCATGAATTCGTATGCGTGTGCGCGTGCGGTGTGTGTGTGCATGTGCGCGCTCGTGGTGTGCGTGCAAATATGTGCGTGTGCATCAGTGTGTCTGTATGTTTGTATGTGTGCAATACATCTGCGTGTGCGGCAATGTGTATGTGCGCATACGTGTGTGTGTTCTGCTGTGTATGATTGGGCACGCATGCGTGTGATGCATGCGTGTTTTTGGCTGCGTTGGTGCTCACAAACAAATAATTATTTTTGAGCTTACTTACGATAACTCGGGCGTATAGGGGTGCTTCATGGGTATTTGTAAGCAAGGACTTGCAATCCGTCTCAATGGAAGAGTTGTAGTGGTGCTCAACCGCTGTACCCGAAGGTCATGGGTTCGATCCCGGCCGCGGTCGTCGCATTTCAGTGGTAACGAAATGGTAAAGGCCCGTGTATACTGTACGATGTTAGTGCACGTTAAGCAACACCGGATGGTGGAAATTTTCACAGCCCTCAACTAAAGCGTCACTCATAGTCAGATCGTCGTTTAGGCATGCAAAACTCCACAAATTATTATTACGAACAAGTAATAGCGGCATGTGCAATGACGACCAGTGATTGCATAACTTGTTTACTGTATACGTACAGAGCTGAAAGCTCTACCCTCGGCAAGATGCATATACCGTTGTCCACCGAATATCACAAAAGTTTCTTGATCTAGGGTTTATCGTTATGTGCGCGATGTATGGGCATCACTGTTGCGCTGATAAGCCTCGGCTTCTTTGTGTAGACTAGGCACGCATGCATCGGCTTGTTTCGGTGTCAGCTCGCATTGCAAGTAGACGGCTGTTTGAAGGGTTCTATTAAGTGCAATTTACGTGTGGTGCTACGTACCACAACACAAGAAATAATGAAGTGATGTGCACGCATTATTACTCTTCCCGTGCTCTTGGGTATCACACAGTCGTTACTAACGGCACGCGCAGGTGCCTAACACGGAATCTTCAGTCTCCTGTAACGTTTAGAAAAATCATTGTAGGAAAGGAATGTCTGACCACCTTTCCTAACATTGCTTATAAGTTGTCTCAATATCGCTCAATTATAAGTACGCTTTTTTTCACTTAGAGATGGTAATACAAGAAATTCTATAGTCTAACCAGGTTGGCTGACAACTTTTGTGTTGTCGTTGTTACTACACCAAGCCGAGTGACAGAGAAGTTAGCGAAACTAAATAAGTATATTGTGGGAAGAATGAGGAAAAAAAGAATTTAAGTGAATAAAGAAAAAGAGAGACAAAACTGCCGCGGATGCCAAATTTATTATATTCCGCATGATGCATGCGACGCGATACCATTGAGCTACCGTGGTTGCCAATCTCTGTATACAACTGCGCGACAGGATGGCTACCACGGTTGTCAGTAAATCAACACAACAAATAATAATGTATACTTCTTTAACCAACAAATGTGTATAAGGCATCATCTGTGGTATAATGCGTACACCGAAGTCAGCGACTATAGCGATTTAAAGTAGAAGCCAATAGGGTTTTTTTTTTTTCGTCGCGAAGTTAGTGTTCAAGATACTTATATACTATTACATATAGGGAGCTTTAGAATAGCGCGCCGCGAGCCCTTGCGGTGCGGTCGCTATACTACTGCGCATGCGTAGTACCACGAGCCGTTGTTCACGTTCGCGGCCCGCCCGCAGTAAATCATAAATAGTGGGTGGAGTGTGCGGCCCGCATGTGGCCCGCAAACGCTGGTTTCGAGACTGCGGTGTCGCTGCGATTGTGTGTTGCGGTTTGCAGAAGGGCAAACGCTATTCTAAAACTCGTATGGCGCCCGCTATGCCCGCAACGCCCGCAACGCCTCCAACGTTATTCTGAAACTCCCTATTAATACGTACACGAATAGTTTGAGAGATGGCCCGATAAACAAGCTGAGGCGTTGGCAACCAGTGGTGTGTGGCTGAACAATTATTTCGTCGTGTCACCGAGATTAACAGTGTGGAGGCGGAAATGTTGTAGGCCCGTGTGCTCAGATTTGGGTGCACGTTAAAGAACTTCAGGCGGTCAAAATTTCTGGAGCCCTCCACTACGGCGTCTCTCATAATCATATGGTGGTTTTGGGACGTTAAACCCAACATATCAATCAATCAATCAACCGAGATTAACAGTGCCCAACCGTCAACTTTTTCTCGTTTCAGGAAAAAACGGAGCCTTACTTTCTAGGTATCTTCTGCGTAGAAGCCCTATTGAAAATTGTAGCCTTAGGATTTATACTGCATCGCGGAGCGTACCTCCGCAACATTTGGAATATCATGGACTTCGTGGTCGTCGTCACGGGGTAAGTCCACCACGTTTACTTCTCTCGTGTGACTGTCGTAGCTTGTTTCTACGAGAAAACTGTTCAGAAATTATTACCAGACATGATTTATCAACAAGGCAACTAAGTTGAGACATTTCTTGAAGAGAAAACAAGCGTAATTTGTTTTATTGTTTGGGTCGGCTACCGTCCACTGGACGGTTAATAAACCCTTCGGCTATTTGTGACAGCAGTCCTAGATGATGACGATAAAAAAAATTCCAACACATATACTATTAGCAAACCGTGCTGTAGCAGTGTATATTATCATGCGCGTTGTGTCAGATAAGCACGCCTGTTCCGTAAACATGATCTCATTGGCTGTCTGTGCCATCACTGAATATTAGGCAAGAAATAACAAATGTTGTATAAGTAAGAAATCAGCCTATATATTTTTGTAGCAATGACTTTACGCCATCTATGGTCGGACCCCATTTGTTCTTCATTGCCTCAAATGCTCCTAACTTTCCCAGTGAGCAGATTTTACAAACGTCGGAGACTGAAAGTGTAAGTATGAAATCAATTTCTTATGGGGATTCTCTGAATTATAGCGAAATTTGTGAATGTTGAGAAACAAAAATTCTACTTTATTGGCTAAAACTAAAGTATAGAGAAAAAATTCTCTTTTGGGGCACTGTGGCTTAGCATCTCCAGGAGTTTGGGACCTAAGCTTGAACGAGAGCAGAGAGTTGCGATGTATGTATAGTCTCGAAACGGTCAGTTAAAAGTCAAGCTCTAATATTTCGCGGTGTCTGCGGTCCTACCAACGTGTTATCTCGTGTTTTCTTTAGTCATAAGTGAAATTATACTAAAATAGGTCCCGCAGATCGGCAGGTTAGGGGTTACACTGTTGCTACAATAATTTGCGTTCTAAGACCTTTACATTTACTCGTTTGGCGCTAAAGCTCAAGACATTGAGACTGAGGGCCACTAGAATGATGTTTAACTTCACGTATGTCTGACAGTGGCATGAACATTGTATTGAGTTATTGTCTAAATAAATGAGAAAGCAGAATACGCGGTCACCCATGTTCGTCGCCGAGCTTCCGCGCTTAAACGTCATCTAAACGTAAAGCTATTTGGAGTGCGACGACGTGTAATCAATGATGTAGACGTTGAAAGCTCGGTGGGCATAAATATATAATGAAGGTTTGATTGTAGTGAAACTTTTCAGGGCCTGTTCGTATGGCTCCTTCATTCGTACCCCACATCCCGCGGTGCTATAATCGCGCTGTTTTGAATGTGTTTTTTCACAGCGTCTGTCATGAAAAGACGGAGGTATAAGCAGTACGGAGATATAAGCAGTAAATAATACGTTGCTACCGTATTATTTGCTTTGGAGCAAAAAAAAAGCCGACTCTAAAATGAGATGGAGATAATTATTAGTGCTCATCGATTTGTTTCATCATACATCCATCGATAGATTGGTGTAGGGCTGATAATAGCCGAAGCAATTGCAATTCATAAACTTACATAGCTTCTGGTTGCAGTTCCGCATTTAACGATACAGCACTTAGCCATTTTGTGAGCCGTCATCAGGGTCACTTATTTCACCTAAATTAGAATACAATGACACCCCTTTTTTATCCCCCCACACATCCTACACCACAGCATGCGCTTAACTGCAATGAACCACCGACGATCAGAGCAACGTGTGTCCCAGCGGTGCGAAACATGCAGCCCCATTCATAACAGAGTTTTAGAAGCCACTCTCGCACGTCTCGTCGGGACAAGTTTCTCCCAAAAGTCCTGGAAGACCGCCAAAAGCAGTGCCCCCTCATCCGAGCAAAGCATGCGCCGTAGCCACTCCAGGCTTCTGGTGGTGCTTTCTGCTGCGACTGCGCTCGTGTTCTTGTTTCAGGATAATGAATATTACGGCGCAGCAGACGGAGAACTTAGACTTGCGAATGCTTCGGTCGTTTCGAGTATTGCGTCCACTGAAACTAGTCTCTCGCACGCCAAGTAAGTGCGCCATTCAAGCCGAGCGCGCCTCGGTTAGCCGGAGCAGCCGTGCGCCCCCGGGCCGCCCCGTAGAGCACATCGGAGTGTCACGTGTTCTCTCCAGAGGCGCGCGCTCGGCCCACGTAGCCCACTGTAGTTGTGTCGTAGCAATGAGGCCGGGCGTGCCGCGCATAGCGCCGGTGAGTATGCGCCCTGTGTAGGAGGGGTGCAGGGCCATACATGGCTGCAGGATGGGCAACGGTCCCGGGGAGGGCGGTTTTACCTGTTGCGTAGTCCGTAGCTGTAGACCATGGCCCCGTCCACTAGGGGCGGGATGTCTCGAACGGTGTTTGTGTGCGTGATTTGTTGCTAGATGTGTAGATGTCGCCGAATCGCTTCGGCAAGCAGCAGCGTTTATGATTCAATTATTATTTTTCGTGCACTCCCCTCAGCACGATATGCAGTTAGGCAAGACGTTTTTGTATGTATTGTTCTGTTCACCGGATGTCTCGTCGGAGACACGAGCTATTTTTTCGTTGTTTTTCGGTTCAATGGTTCGCTTCATACAATGATAAACCGAATGCGAAGTTTTCGTCAGCGGGTATTCAGTGCTACTTACTTGCTAAACAGGGGTAGGAAAATAATGATAATGTAACTATTTTTGAGCGGTCGATGAGCCTCGCCAAATTATGTAATTATTCATGTCGAAGCGTCAGTTCTATAGTATTGCGGACCTCCCAGTGCTAAGGAAATGAAATGCTACTTAAATGATGGACAGGATATAGCATTGATGATACGCCACTTTGTTATCGCAGACTGCATTTATATAGGAGGCTTTTTTTGTAGACCTTTCCTGTATAGTGGTGAATCATTATTTGAATCATTATGTGACTTAAATTTGAATCATTATGGGAGTTCAGTCTGTGAGTATCCCGCACGGCGGAAGCGTTCTCACGGTGAGTCAGAGAGCCAGCAGTGAGCCAGAAACAAGTGGTCTCCATCGCTGACATCGCCCCTGACAGAATGATGTGGCGGCGTGCTGTCACAGTATGTGTGGACAGACAGCAGCACCGTGTGTACTAACTCCAGACAGCCGACCGACTTTCCAACTAGGCTTGTTGTTGCGTGAAACAACAAGCCTGGCTAAACAGCCGGTCCGCTGTCTGGAGTTAGTACACGTGATGCTGCCGTCTGTCCACGCATACTGTGACAGCACGCCGCCACACCATCCCGTCGGGGGCGATGTCACAACGGAGACCACTTGTTTCTGGCTCACTACTGGCTTTCTGGCTCACTGGCTCACCATGAGAACGCTTCCGCCGTGTGGGCGGCTCACCAGCGCCAGGTGCGGTGAACAAAAGCTCACGGGATTTGGAAACAAAGGCGCGTGCAGAGGAGAACGATTTATAACCTCGTCCGCACAGCCACTTTTCATTATCTTCCCATTTCATGAGGCGTCGTCTACCGACTGGTCATCCTTCGCTTCCCGCCAAAATAACTATGTGTAATAAGCGTATAATACATCAACTTTCGCAAGCCAAAAAATAGGTTGTGCGAATCATATTCTGTTTCTTATACTTTGTTCCCTGAGTGTTTACTGCCTTCATGGGTCATCAAATGCCCATTTAAGAACCAATGAAGTAAAGAACCCCGACACTCCGGGGTAGATAAAAAAATCCCTCCACCTTCTCGAAGGGCATTGTGAGGAAATGCTCATGCATTTCTTGCGCCGAGAGAGGGTATCATTGCCGTCAGGCATTCGCCTTCCCCACGGTACTTTCACCAACTTCTGCCATCTCCTTGAGAGGCACCCAGCCAGTGAACGGTCGAGAGTGAGAAGCGAGAGGACGGGAGAGTGTGGCGCCAGCGTTCTCGGTTCGATGTTGGCGTTTCGCAGCGGCGTCTCTAGCACACATTTTTTGGTGTTCTTGAGAGCCGCCCAGCCAGTGAATGGTCGAGAGTAAGCCGCGAGCGGACGGGAGCGTGGAGTGCAGGGAGGAGAGTGAGCGAACGGTGAGAGAAAGAGTGCCGCAGCACTGCACCTACCATATCCTACAGTCTCTCACACCACATACTCTGGTTGCTAAAGATAACACCTGCCGGCGCGCGGACACTGCCGCGGACAACACCGGATGCCTTACATAGCCCTACTAAGAAATGCATTCGCACTTAAAACGCCTTTTGGCATTCGGCATCTTTCTAATTATAGCCTTAACTACATCTTCGAAAAGTACTGATCTTCGTCACAGTTTTCGCAACAGTAAGGATTCATCATCATTATCATCATCATCATCATCATCATCATTAACAGCCTGACTACGTCCACTGCAGGACAAAAACCTCTCCCATGTTCCGCCGGTTAACCCGGTCCTGTGCTTGCTGCTGCCAATTTATACCCGCAAACTTCTTAATCTCATCTGCCCACCTAACCTTCTGTCTCCCCCTAACCCGCTTGCCTTCTCTGGGAATCCAGTTAGTTACCCTTAATGACCAGTGGTTATCCTGTCTACGCGCTACATGTCCGGCCCATGTTCATTTCCTCTTTTTGATTTCAACTATGATATCCTCACCGTTTGTTCCCTAATCCACTCTGCTCTCTTCTTATCTCTTAAGGTTACACCTACCATTTTTCTTTCCATTGCTCGCTGCGTCGTCCTCAATTTAAGCTGAACCCTCTTTGTAAGTCTCCAGGTTTCTGCTCCATAGCTTAGTACCGGCAAGATACAGCTGTTATATACCTTCCTTTTGAGGGATAGTGGCAATCTACCTGTCATTATTTGAGAGGGCTTGCCAAATGTGCTCCACCCCATTCTTATTCTTCTAGTTACTTCAATCTCGTGGTTCGGCTGCGTGGTTATTACCTGCCTTAAGTAAACATAATTTTTTACAACTTGAAGTGCACTATTACCTATCTCGAAGCGCTGCTCTTTTCCGAGGAAGTAAGGATTAGGTGGAAGGATTAGCATCTCTATGGCACACTGGTTGGTAGATAACAATCTGCTTGTGATCAGATAAAACAAATTATTCGGATCTTGAGGAGG